CGATGTGACGGAAACAGTGTAAGGCCGTCAGGTCTCTTGCTATCTGTACGGCACAGCCCCGGAGGCTCCAAGACACAAGCCACGTTTGCCAACACCAAAGCCTAAATCATTTATTGTATATTGTCTTGAAAACTGCCCCGCGCACCTCTGACAACTAAGGCCGTGGTGGCCTCAACCATGACCCCACAAACGCAATGGTGAGGTTCACAAACCTTACAACCCAATCGTGAAGCTCGTCTAGCAGAATGCCTGAATGGGGAGAAGAACAGGGTCTAATTACGTACGTACATTTTTTTTTTTCATTACGTCTATGAGTACAATTAATTCTTTTTTTTTTTAATCAGGAACAGTATGCCAGCCCGCGCCACTTAACCTTTTAAAACACCTCAGATAAAGATCGCTCCACAACGAATTTATAATAAATACTGTTGAAGAGATTTAAATTGTAAAGAACACAAGAGTCTTTTCATGGATAAGACTGTACCTATGGATTCAAGACAAAAGTTATACTTAAAAAAAGACAGACAGGGTTAAGACCCTGTAAATGGAAAAGAGATTAGAAACGGATTTAAAAAAAAGATTAGGTTGCATGGTATAGATCTTTGCCTTCCCGCAAGGAAAAAAGATGGCTCCACTATCGCCTTGCGCGCTAAAATATCTTTCCTGTTTCTCAGTTTCAGTTACAACCTTTTGCGTAATTATAAAAAACAATTCAAGATCTAACATGAAAATCACAATTTCAAATTAACATGACAGTAAATATTAAATAACGAAACTTAACAATGAAATAGTACACAAACATTTGTATGGAATCCGTTACTAACGGACATATCAAAATAACTTTTTATTATAATTCAGTACAAAACAAGCGTGTATTTAATATATTATTATTAAAATATAAAAATTAATTAATATAGTGGTTCTTAAAAAAACCATGGCATATGTTAACAAAAATTAAATAACTAAATAATATAAATATTTGCATTAAGAATAAACGCAGATCAAAAATAACTTTAGTTTATTTTCACTACGCTAACACATTAACACGTAAAGCGTCTACTGGTTCATTTTGTAAACCAAAAGATCGCTCAACAAAAATTCGTGAAAGAGTTCGTATAACTCAGAGAGTTAACGAACATTTTACATTCATGGCTTAGTACAAATGAAGTGAACACTTTAATAGCGCGTTTTATTTCGATCCTAACGCCATCTATTGGCGGCGGGCAAAAATATTGTAATAAAATCTACTTATCGACGCCTTGTTTTGAATAAATGTATTGATATTGAATTTTGTTAAAGCAAAACTTATAAACCTCTTGCTTAAATATATTACATATTAAAGTTCTTATTAGTATCAACACTTAATTTTAAAATTATAAGTAAATTAATTATAATTATACTGTTATTCGTAATGTAAAATCAATTTAATTCTTAATTATTTACTTTTTTGCATTAATAAGATTAATTTTCCGTTAATAAAATTCAATTTAATTGTTATGTAATGTAATGTAAGAGTAATACTGAAAAGAGCCCCGAAGAAGTCAAGGCTTGTATCAAATAAAATTCTATCCATATATCTAAGAGGTTTGATTGAACGGAACGGCCTGCAGCCTTAGAATAATAACGCATAGAAACCTAGCCCGCACACGCTAAGTGAGGCAAGTTAGAGGGTTCCAAACGCGTCCCAGGAGCGCGCGGGCTGTTAGTGCTCAAGGTCATATTGCACCGCGAACAGCTCCAAAATTTTTTGCTAAAAATGACGAAATGTGCGGTAAATGGGTGTAAAAATACAACAGACAAACAAAATAGACACTAACATCGCATTCCACAAGTAAGTAATGCGTTTCAACTCATATTTTTATGTAAATATTCACTAAAACAGAAAAATAATTTCGCGGCAACAAGATACGAAAGTGTTGCAAAGTAACGAATTTTTTTTCTCCCCATTTTGCTATTCTGTATCAAAATAATTATATTACGTAAATTTTAGTGGTGCCTGTAATTTCGATTTATTTGCGCATCTTGAACTAATATTTACTTGAAT